GAAATGCTTTGAGGTCTTTGAGATTTTCTGGTGGCTTTATTTTCTGGATGGCTTCAATCTTCTTTGGGTCGGTTCGAATTCCTTCAGTTGTTATTATAAATCCCAAAAATTCGGTTGAACCTTTTAAAAACTCTGTCTTTTCCAGATTTACACGTAGATTGGCCTTTAGAAGTTTGTTGAAAATTTTCTCTACATTTTTTAGGTGTTCGTATTCAGTTTTACCTCCAAAAATGATAACGTCATTGATGTAAACGTAACAAATTTTTCCTATGAATTCCTTGAGTACGTCATCGATCATTCGCTGCAATATAGATGGCCCATTTTTCAGCCCAAATGGGAGTCGTGTAAACTCAAATTTCCCATTTAGTGTAGAAAAAGCAGTCTTCTTGATGTCCTCCGGTTTCATTTTTATTTGGTGAAATCCTGATGTCAGGTCTAATGTTGTGAAAAATTTTGAGTTTCCTAGGCTTGCTATGGTGTTGGTGATGTCCGGGATCGGATAGGTGTCTGCTATGGTTACTGAGTTTAACTTTTTAAAGTCCACTACCATCCTATATTTCTTGATACCAGCGTCTAGTTTTTTCTCGACTACCCAGATAGGTGAGTTGTACGATCTTTTCGATGGTCTTATAATTCCGTCAGCTAGTAATTTTTTTATCTGGCTGTCCACCTCGCTTCTCATATGAGCCGGATAGAGATAGATTTTACTGTATATTGGTTCATCGGTAGTTGTTTTGATCTCAGCTTCTACGGTTGTTTCTATGGTTTCTTGAGTGTTGATTGGTCCGAAAAGTGATTTATAATTCTCTACAAGTATTTTTAACTTTTTTTGAGTTTCTGCATTTAGATGTTCATTTCTGATTTCTAAACTGTTGACCTGTAGTGAGTGTTTTTCCTTTAAGGGAATATGGATGTTTGGTGCTATTTTCAGTGTATTATTTTCTGTCTATAACCGCCTCTATTTGCTTCAAGGTATCATCTCCTATTATGCCGTCAAAAGTTTTAAGTCCAGGTAGCACGAAAAATGTAGTTTCGGTAGAGTTCCCTATACTGTTGAAGAATTTTCCTGTTATCTTTTCTGTAATTTTAATATTTCCGCCAGCCGATCTTATAATAAATGGTTTTTCTACAGGTTTTGAACATGGAGCTAGTTCAGTTCTTATAAAATTTTTATTTGCTCCTGTGTCAATCAAAAACTTCAATTGCTTGTTGTCTCTAGTAGTATACTCTAGGTATGGTACGCTAGAAAAGCCTGACTCATAAAATTTAGCTCGTTTTTGTCATCTTCGTCATTTTCGGTTTCAGCTAATTCTAGCTCGTTATCGCAATTTTTGATATAGTCTTCATAATCATCTTCTTCCTCTGGTTCGGCGCAAAAGATTCCCTGGTGATTTGGTTGGAAGTTGCCTCTGGGCCTATTCATATAGTTAACATTTACTGATCCATCTATACTCATCGGCACTGGTGGTTTTGGCTGTGTTGGTCTAGGTGGGGTTGGAGTTGGGCCATTTGCATAATTTTCGGCAAGTAAATATTATGATTACCCTGTGGTGCCATTGTTGGTACAACTTGGCTCTTTGTCAGTTGATTCACAGGTGCTATGATTGTATTATTGAAGTTTCTGTTGTGTACTGGCATACTTCGAAAATTTAAATTTTGTATTTCCATACAAGAGGAATAAGCCTCAGGTAGTGTTAGCGGCCTCTGAATCATTAGCATACACGCGAGGTCCCCGTTCAGTCCTCTTATAAAAACATCTAATGGCCTATTTCTATAAGTTGCGCTGAGGGCGTTCACGGTTTCTGGTGCGTAGCTCCCAGTTTTAATTTTGTTTATAATTAAAGACAACTGGTGGTTGACTGTTGCAAAGAATTCGTCGATGCTGCGTTTTCCCTGCGTTAGATTTGACAGTTGGTGCTCCAATGTGCGAAGATCGCGCTTGTACGCATAATGCAAAGATAAACATGCTTTTATTTCGCTCCAATCCTAGTCGAATATATTATAGGAAACTAATGCCGAATCGGCATTCCACGGATCTTTTGCCTGATGTGTTGTAGGATTGCTTGATATATAGGTTTATGCTTCACTATTTCATAGTCCTTTAGGAGACTTTCTACCGTATGAATCCATGATAGGTATTCCGTTGGATTGCCATTAAATGGTCTGAGTTACTTTACTGTATCGGGCAGTTTACCAATATCCTCTAATTCTTTTTCGTTTTTGGTCCTTTCTTAATCATTTCTAGCTGGGCATTTACTGACCCAGTCAAGTTTGTTAAGGTAGTTTGGATTGCTTCCATTTTATTTATTTAGTTAGTTGATTCACTTACAAAATGTAAAATCCAATGTTCATCAGATTGTAAAAAGATTTCTATTGGATTGACGTTTCCTCGAAGATTATGTAGATTCCTTGGATTGACGTTTCCTCGGATGGTTAATTCTTTTTCGTTTTTGGTCCTTGTAGGCCTCTTTGGGGAATGGTTTGAGCTGTTGTTCCAGCATTTTTGAAGTTCTGTTCCATTTGGTTGAGTCTTATTTCTAATTTCTTAATCATTTCTAGCTGGGCATTTACTGACCCAGTCAAGTTTGTTAAGGTAGTTTGGATTGCTTCCATTTTATTTATTTAGTTAGTTGATTCACTTACAAAATGTAAAATCCAATGTTCATCAGATTGTAAAAAGATTTCTATTGGATTGACGTTTCCTCGAAGATTATGTAGATTCCTTGGATTGACGTTTCCTCGGATGGTTGGATACCTCGTAGTATTCCTGTTTGGGTAAAAACGTTTATGCTTGTAATTACCCTACTAATGGTACGATGAGTGTCACTGCTGTGCAAGATCCTTTGACTATGTTCTCACGGGTATAGTGGCTGGAATCTTTTTATTTGTGACAAGCTCTGAACGGTCCTATGTTCTCACGGGTATAGTGTTGTTGAGCTTGCCCTGTCACGGTCGCCAGTTAACGAGTTTACTCGTTCGAAGTTTAAAAAAAAAATTTATTTCGATGTTAATCCAAATCTTTATTATGCTTCAATTGAATTACAAATTAAACTTAAACTTAATTCTACAAATTGGTTCTATTTAATTGGTACTAATTAATTGATTACTTTGCATTTTAAAAGTGTGAGAAATAATTTTGCCAAATATGCAAAGTAAGCAACAAGAATTTAGAATTTAAATTTACTTAAAAAATAAAAGTTTCAAGTTACAATTTTAAAATAACGAAAAAATGATAAATTTTAACTTTAAAAGCAATTTTTGTGGGAAAATTTCTGTAAGAAAATTTCCGTTGATACGTCAGCATTTTTGGTGTACTACGTTATGTACGATTCTATCGTTAACTTACATAATAATATTTTCGTTTTAAAATACCAGAGTTCAGTATTCTTTTTATAACCATATCGGTCTAAAATTTACATTACATACATAAGTATCTAGATATGTAGTTATGTTCATTCAAACATGAAAATTGTAGGAACTGATGCATGTACATTGCCATTTATTTATATGTTTTGATGTATATTAAACTAGAATGAGAAAAAATAGAGTTGACCATGTCAAGTCTGTGATACCCGTACGAATTTGTTATCCTATGTGCGAATAAATATGTCATAGCTGACTATGGGACAGACTATGGCTTTAAGTTGCCGCATTACTATATTAATTCATGCAAAATTTCAGTGTTTATAAAAAATGTTAAGTAAACGTCTAGTTGGCGATGCCTGATTTCCTCCAAAACATAGGAATTTTCGCGGACGGTCGAGCTGAGTTTATATGTAAAATTTCAAGTAAATCGGTTGAATATTTTCTTCAAAATGTTCAAAAATGTAAAACAGGCCCGCTAAAAAGTGCAGTTCCCGAGGATTGATATATCCCAAAAGTTGATCAATCCATGCCATGGTGAAAATAAACTTACATACAAAATTTCATCAAATCGGTTCAGCAGAACTTGAAATACACGCGTGCACAAACAGACCGACAGATTGCGAAAAATAGTTTATTTACACTTCCCTACTATGGAGAAGTGCATTTCCACCGAAAACTCGATATGCAAAATTTGTTGCCATTACATTACCTACCTATTGTATACACAATACGGTCGGTAAAAATACTCAAAGAATTAAAAGTATTTATACATTCTGTTACTCTACACTGCTCTTTCATTCATATTTATTTATTATACGAATGCACAAAGTATTTTTTTGAATGATATGAATCATCAGAATTCAACCATTTTAAGATTCAGAATTCAACATAATTATTTATTATTACTTTCATATACATACAAGTATAAATTCGTATGTTCCTACACATATTCAAATATTCAAAAATACACATGTATGGATAATTTGTATTGTCTAAAATGTATATAACCAAGGCTCGTGCGTCCGCATGTAATTATCTCATAAAGCAAAATTTTTATTTTGCTAAGATTGTTCCCTGTAAACACTCGAACGTACACATATAACTATACCACAAAGCAAGATTTTCAGTATGCTGAGTTTGCGCCCTGCTAACAGTCATTCGTATTTTAATTGTATCATATTTGCAAAATTTTATTTATGCTGAGTTGTCGCTTCATCAAACAAACAAAAACATTATTATAATGTATTACTTTTTCTGCATACTATTGCATTAGTTAAAAACAATCATAAAAACAAAAATATAGAATGAGAATAAAAAGAAAATAGCAAAAGGGAATAAAAATTATATTCTTAAATAATTGAATTAGTTCCATTATAGATAACCGTAATAAATCAAAAATCTTTAAAAAATGAAAAAAGTTCATTATTTTAAATTTATTTCTTCTAATCAATTGTATTATTTTTAACTCTATTTGAATGCGCGTATACTTAAAAGGAGTTGCTTTAAGATATGATAACCCTATTAAATAAAATTAAACATTTTTTTTAATTTATTCATTTATTTATTCAAACCTTGTATTTAATTATTTAAAGCAAAATCATTCAAGAAATGCAAATTTTTCCTTTAATTTACAGTTCTAAAATCACTCAATGGCACAAAGACTATTGCTCAGAATGGTTCCCCAATTAGTATTTTTTCTCTCAATCTTTTCGACGTTATCAGCTGAAAGATGGTCTAGGCAGATTTCACAAGATTTGATTGAGCATCCCGAAATAATTAACGATTGGATTCCATTAGCCCCAAGTAATCAACAACATCAATTCCCTAGACAAGCTGCGTTTGTGATTTCATCCACATTACCACCACTTTTAGATCCAACAACTACTTCAGCTCCTACAGTTTCATCAACGACACAAAATATTGATAGATCAAATAATGCGCGTGTTCTTGCTTATTCTAATAACATTTATAGTGATAGTAACCTTCAAAGTGCAGCAACCCAACAAAACCCGAATGTGTTCAATTTCGTTAGTCCTTTTCAATATCAACGTTACCAGCAATCAGAAGGACAAAAACCTCCAATAACATCACAGCAACCTACTTCCCAATCATTTTTTAAATTTGAAATGCCCACGTTTTCTGTCGATGGCCGTGGGCAATCCCAACCAATTCAAACTGGTTATCAAATTCAACATACTTTTGGACCAGCTCCGGTACATTCTGTAATAACATCACCATTATTTACATCACAAAAACAAACCCAGTTTCCAGCAGAATATCATTCGCACTCCGGACATCAAATTCAGCAACAACAATTTCAATCAGAAAGAAAACCACATTTAGAATTAAAAACGAAAGATTCAAAACCTTCAACAACTGCAAATCATGAAAACTCAATTGCTCACAGACCAGAAACTTATGCTAATACTCCTCAAACTTTTCAAAAACCAACGTCATTTCAAGCACCATTCCAAAATGCTTACAAATCACAAGAACAAGTAGAAAATGTATATACTTTGCAAGAACCTGCTCCTGTTAAATCACCACAAGAACAAGAAATACAATTGCTTTATGTTCCGTATGATACGCTTTATTCCCCTCATGCTGCACCGCAATTGGGTTACAATAATGCCAAATACAATGTCGTACAACAGCCGGTCAATCCATTACAAATAAACAATTTCTATACTCAAGATCCGTTAGATAATCGAGATGAAAACTATTTTGTATCTCAGGCAGTAAAAGCGGCAACAACTTCAACTCAAAGACCGACTACGAGTTCGACCGCATATACACCAATTACCAATTCTAATCAATTTCTAAATCCTAAATTCACAACATCGAAACCTAAACCAAAGCCACACCAGCCACCTCTTGCAATGTTTTTACAAAAAATTTCAACTCGATCAACCCCATATGATATTGTTAACATTATCAGTAAAGATAAATCAGTTGCCGTGCTTGATGCTCCTTCTAAAAATGCACCGCAAGTGTTTATTGGACCTTCCGGACTGCAAGCGCCCCCTGGCTACACCAAATTTGAATTGCCTTATTTGTCAAATTTTAACCAAAATAATTTGGATACGACTTTAAAAGCAGTACCATTCTTCGTTGCGCCGCTTAGTTACAAAACACCATTCGGATTTTCCAAAATAGTTCTTCCAGAACCCCACGTAGGATCTTTAGTTATAAACAAACCTTTTCAAACCGAAGATATGTCACACATCAGAAGTTCAACTAGACGTCCCCAAAGACCGCAAACGTCAAAAGATATGTTTAATTTGTCTCCATATGTTTCCAGAGTGCCTCAAAGTAGAGCTCCTACTACAATGCCAAAACATAATTCACAATTCCAGTCATCTCCTTCTTACGAAGATAATATATATCGCCAACAACTCCCAGAAGAAGTTTCACCAGTTAGTCAGACACAAAAAGATTTTTATAACAATCCGTATCCAGATGTTATAAAAGAAGTTTCTTCACCAAAAACAATACAAAAGCAAGCTCACTCAAGAATAAAAACCACTACAGAATCACCATTTTCACAAACTGTAAAATCTAGACCAATTGAAAAAATCTCGGATCATACATACACTTCAATTCCAACAGAAAAGTTTAGAACAAGTGCAAAGCCAACTGAATCTATTTTTGTTGAAAGAATAAAAACCAAACCTGTTGAACCCGTATTTACAGAAACAATTAAGCCGTATGCTCATTTTAAACCAATGCCAACTAATCTTGAAAATGATGAGTACTTCCGTTCACCTGTTCAACCATCGACTGCAACACAAATAGATTCGGAAACTACTTCTACTGCACCCCCTATTTCTAGAGTAACTACAACACCTCGGGCGTCCATCGCAACTACCGCTCGGAATCATCATATTGAATCATTTAATTCAAATAGAAATGCCAAACCATCTCGAGATCAACAATATTTTGAAACTACCAGTACAAAACCAATTCAAAATTCAAATGTTTTCCAACATAAATTTCAATCAAAACCTTTATTTGATGACGAATACAGAATGAAAGCTTATTATCGGCAACAGAATATCAACAAGAATCGACTGCCAACAGCACCTGATACAACAGTAAGAACCCGTTTCGAAAGCGTTCAATATACTCCTGTTTCCCTAGATTACGATAAACCTTCTTCAACATTATCTTATTTCGATGGATCAACTCTACGTACAACGACTCCCCGCGTTACATTTTACACTCCTTCTTATAAAGAAAACGAACCAAACAATATCATAAAACAAGAAAATGACCCAAATAATTCATTTAATCTTCAAAAGGAGCCTGAACTTGAAAATCAAACAATCAGGCCAAGAACAGAATACTCACAATCAACAATCTCAGCTCATATTTCAAATAACCAACAAAATGATGGCAATGATGTTACGATTTACAATCATGATGACGTTAAACTTCAAGAAAATGATTTCGAACAAGCATATAATTTACCTTCTGAGCTGCCGCCATTAACGCCGAATCTTCCCGGCTTAGTAAATGCTTTAAAAGAAAACGAACGTCTAAATGCTATCGAGAAAGACACGACAGAAACAGTAACAACCACTACGTCAACAGCCAATCCCAGAACAAGAAAACCAATACACCGTGGTAGGAGGCCAACGTCCAGAACATCAACATCTTCATCAGTTTCTTATTCTTCGTCTGATGAAACTATTACAAAAAAACCTATTAATCGCCCACGAAGACCATATTCTCCCCCAACTCGTAACAGTTCTACAGCAACAACTAGTGTCTCCTCAAGCAGCAGTGTAAGTACGGGGGGAACTACTAGAACTTCTATCCGAAATCCAAATCGTATTCGCTATAACCCGACAAATGAAGAGCGTAGACATTTCCGGTCCAAAACGCGAAAACAAAATGCATCGACTTCTAAGAAAAATAAAGAAAACGTAGATGAGGACAATCTTGAATATCAAAGAGATGTGTTAAAACAGAACTACCCAGTTTTCAAGCATCCTACCAGAAAACCATTTTTAACCACTACTACAGAAAAAGTTCAAGAAGTAGTAACAGTCACACCCAGTACCCTTGAAGAAGGTTTTCCAGGCCTATTAGAACCAATGCAAATTGCCCAACAATATCAACATCAACAATTTCAAGACAACTATGGCCCCGGATATTTTCCTAATGAAGAAGAAGTTAATCCAACTGAGCCGCTTCGAAATGAAATCATTACCACAACTCAAATATCACCATCAGCTTCACCCACAACAACTGAAAATGTCCGTGTTGAAATAACAAAACGACCCGCTTTTATAAGAAGAACAAGGCCGTCTAAAACAACTGAAGCACCTATTACTACAACTACTGAAGCAAGCGAAAAGTTCACAGTAAAATTATTTCATTTTTAATTGAATTTAGACATTTAGAATATTTATGAATTTTGTGCATAAATATTGTCATATCGTTATTTTTAGAATACTTTTTTTATTCCGTTATTTCTTTGTCTTTATTTCGAAAGGTACGCCCCCGTCGTCCAGATGGTTCTATTCCAAGAAAAGTTATTAAAGTTCGAACACGTACGCGCAGACCTCATCCAGTTTCCACAACTGTCGAGCCGGATAAGGAAAAGGAAAATTTACAGAAGGTCTCAAAGTTCAATCAGGATTTTTACCACGATGATTACAAAAACAACGAAGTATGAAATACAAAAAACCTTTTTCATATTTTTAATTAATTAAATCTTAAAATACTTTTTATTTTTTTAGGCTACATACAATAGACGATTGCCTTCAAGACAAAAATTCTTTTTAGATACTCAAGAAACCAAGTGGTCTCCTGCTCTTTCAAAATCAGAAAACTTTAAACCCCTTAATACGCACGAAAGTGAAAAATCAGTTAAATATGACAATGATCAGTACATTGTTACAGCTGGTCCAGAAAACCAGAATTCAAAAAAACAATCGGATACATTTGAATTTAATGTTTCGGCAGGTTTCGGACCATCCATAAAGACATATGGATCTATTGTCAAAACGGAGGATAAGGATTTAAAATTTATAAAGAAAAAAACTTTAGAAAAAACGTAAAAACTTGTGAAATACTACGAAAAAATAATTGTAAAAGTAACACTCTATCTATTTCAGAATTGAACCAACATTTGAAGAACTGCTTGAACAAGTCATGACAGATTTAGGTCGAGAAGTAGCAGCTAAAAAAGAAGCTAAAGCTGCTGCAAATGAAGCATCAAAAATAATTAAAGAAGAATTTACCAGACAAATAAAATTCCCATCTGATGATAAATACAATACCACCAACAGACGCGGCGTTTGGAAGAAAGTTCGAGTAACGCAATCATCTTCTTCTACAGACGGTTTTGAGACAGCTGAATCACAAAATATAGGAACACAGTTATTTAACTCCCTTTATATCAATGAAAAAGCTGTAACTCCAAAGCCGCAATTGATTAATCAGTCCGAATTGAACCTAGTAACCACAATTAGTAAGTCTGAATCAAGTACACAACTATCAGATTTTAAGCCAGAAATAACGTCTACAATCAATCCTGATACTGTACCATCAATTACAACTGAAGAAATGGTTACATCAACAACATTAGATCCAAACAAATTCGACACAACTTCAACTACCACCCAAAAATCAATGTTAATATTAGAACCTCAACCATCAGAATTAAGTGCAACAGCATCAACGACTTTTAAACCTTTTAGCGATTTTGATGGTACTACAACAAGATTCTTTAATGAAGACTATGAAGAAAATGAAAATATCGGTAGTATAATTTCTCGAAGATTTGATCAAGAGCATAACAATGAAAACACAGAAAATGAGGAAACGGTTCCTGATGATTTAGATACACAACCTAGTCTATTCGATGAAGTTAGAAGCCACTTAAAAAATTTGTTTACTGTACAAGATTATGAAGATGATTACGGTGATATTATAAAGCCAAATTTCCAGCCACGCAAACATGAATATACAACAATTCAAAGAGTTCGATCATCTTCAACTGCTACACCAGAAACTGAATCCCCAACAGTTGAAGTAACAACATCTAAAGATACATTATTTCATAAGAATCTAATGAAAAATGTTATTTTCGCCACATCAACTTCTAAAGAAGTTTCTCATGAGACTGAAATTTGTTACCGCGGTAGATGTATAAAATCATCAAGAACATAATTAAACAAAAATAAATGTTGTGAATATAATATGAAGTTTAAAATTATATAAAAGAAAAAAAAATTAAGAAAATGTTATGTATTAAAAATTTTTTATCTCAGGATAAAACTCTAAACAATTGTAAGAGTTCTTAAGAATTAAATTTTTAGTGCAATACTGTCTTAATTAATATCTTAATATGTATGTAATTAATTCTCTGCTTAAATTAAGCTAGTAATATGAACATGTACATTTTAAAACCATTATTTCACCCTAAAAAACAATTAAAATATATTTATTCAAAAATATTACTCGTTTACAAGTAAAATTATATAATAGGAAAGAATTGTAGAATTTTTGTGTGGATAGTATTTAAATTTCGTTCATTTTAATCTTTATTAAAATTAATATGATGTTTTTATTTTAAAAGATAGTAATCGAATAAATAAAATACTCGTACTGACTTCATTAATCAATTTAACTTATTTAATTCTCATCAATAAATTATTAAAACTTCATCAAAACTTATGTACTAAAAATTCTAAAGTTTTACTTTGTAATATTGCGATAGACTTAAATTAAAAAATTTTTGTTTGGTGAAAAATCATATTTTACTTTGTAAAATAATTTTTTTCAAACATTTATAATTTTTCGCTAAAATCAAAAGGTTAAAAAATAAATTTAAACAAACTATACTCTTGAAAAATAAAATTTAGAATACATAGGTATAGCGTACCCACAATTAACATTGAAAATTAACTATAAAATAGCTTCGAATCAAATTAATTTAAATCAATAAAAATAAAATATGGTCAACTTAAATTTTGTATTAACTACTAAACTTTTTTAAAATAAAATTTATGTACATATATTTGTACAACTTGTACAAATTCACTTAGTACAACAACTTGTGTATATTGTGTACATTTGTTAAAATGTTGCCCTGGAAACATAAAGCAAAGTTTTAATCTGAGATTGAAAATCACGTTAATAAGACATTTTTGAAGTATTACGTTAGTTCAATTTACTTTCAAGTATAAAATTTGGTTTATATGAATGTGTGTATAAATTTTTTGATTCATTCATTCTTTAAAAGATTTATAAAATTGCATAACATTTGCATTACATTAAATACACATATAAGTTTTTGTATAAAAATTATTATATAAGTAAAAGGTGTACCTATGCTTTTGTTTGTAGAAAACTTCGAGCAAATAAATTTAAAATTTAATAGGTATCATAGTTATTGTTGTATAAAGTTTACAAAATCTAGTTTTAAAATTTTTACGAATTATATTTTTATTTCTACAAATAAAACATACATATATACATTTTTTAATATTTATTACGTGTAAATAACATTAAATTGAAATAAACACATGATTATTATCTTATTTAGAAAAATATAACCGAAAATATAATAGATACATATTTTAAAATATTATTTAAAAAATGAAATATATACAGCGAAAACTTTTAAGTTATATGTACTTAATTTTTTAATAATTTTGTTTTCTATTATACATGTATGGCCAAAAAACAACAATCAAAAGATATTAATTAATCATTAATATTTAAGGATTAATAAGTTTAAAATTTACTGCTAAGTCCGAATTTGTATGTTACAATAATTAATAAATAAAATAAGTGAAATAACCATTATTAAGTTCTAATTTTTAAAATATTTATGTATCTATGTGTATACTCGTATGCACTACATACATGCATACATATTTTGGTTTTAGTTCTATAACTTTGGTTGGTCATAAATGATGGAACTTAGTTGGTCATTGTTCTATAACTTTGATAGTGCATTTGATACGCTGAATTTACATTGAATTTGAAGAAGTGTATATAAACCATTTGATTTCGGTGTACGTAGCGACATCTAACCCAAATATGTTTCAATTCAAAATCTCTTACTTATTTCTAATAAAACCTAAAATCAAATTATTACAAACTTAAATTCTAAATTTAAATCTAATAAAATTTCTATTAACTTTAAGTCGTGTATTCTAGACTAAAAAATATAGCACCAAATTTGTTTTTATTAACTGTTTTATCATTTTTTACCCTCAATTCTCTCAGAATGTTGACTGACATGGCGGAAAAAACTCGAAAATATATTTAATCAAAATTATAATTAAAATTTTAAATTCGAAATTTGAATTTTTGATATGTTATTCAGAAATTAAAATTTCATTTTAATATAAAAATTTTTAATTTTTAGTCAACTTTTCGTATAGAAAATTGGAAATGAATATAGGCAAAAATCATAATTTTTCTAAAAAAACAACAAAAAAATGTTTCTTCAGAAATGTCATTTCGCCAAAAATGCAATTTTACAAATTCTTTCACAAAAAAAGCAGTATCCAGACCTTGACTTTTTGTAATGTCAAAATGTCAAACCAAAAACCGAAAATTTTGATTTTAGATTATAAAAGCGTGAAACTTAGAAAAAACCGTTTGCAAATCCATTTTCTTTATTTTACTTTATTTCCAATCGAAAAGTTTTGAAAAAAAGTTATTGTTGAAAAAAATTCTTATTTTTCAAAAACAAACCAAGATAAACATACATATGCTTCAACAGGTGTAAGATTTTAAAAAATTTTAAAACACTAAATTTTACTTTACAAAACTTGGAAAAACTTTAAACATTGAGAAAATGAGAATGTCATCATTTTCTCTCATTTTTGTTCAAAAAGTATTATCACTTTGCATGCAACAACTTTTAATGTTTTTAAAAGCTTATAGAAACTTTCTTATACCAGACAGAATAAAAAAATTTTAAATTTATTACAGCCCTGTTAGAATGTCATCATATTCAACAACTTTCTGACATTTTAAAAATATTTTAGCCTTTAAGTCTTATGCCAGTTGGTGTAGTAAATTTTAAGTTTGTTTAATTTAACTTTCAAATAATGGAAAACCTTTTTAGACTGAAAAAAACCTCATCACTCCTATTTTAATTATGAATTTAAATACTTCGAATCCTGTCATTTTAACTTTTAGGCCTTCATGGGAACAGTTCAAAAATTTTGCAAAATATGTGTGAGTAATTTCGATCACTTAATAAAATTTAATACAAAATCAATTATTTTAAATTGTAAAACAATAGAGAGTATATGGAAACCCGTGGAGCCCATAAAGCGGGTTTAGTTAAGGTAATACCCCCTGCAGAATGGAAGGCTAGAAAATCTGGTTATAATATGGACGAAATTAATATGACAATTCCAACGCCAATATGTCAAGTTGTATCTGGAAAACAAGGCGAGTATCAACAATTAAATATACAACGAAGACCGATGACCTTAAGACAATTTAGAGATTTAGCAAACTCGGAACGTTATCAAACACCAAAACATTTTGATTATGATGACTTAGAAAGAAAATATTGGAAAAATGTAACATATATAGCCCCAATCTATGGAGCTGACATTAATGGAAGCTTGACAGATTCAGAAGTTAAAGAGTGGAATATAAACAATTTAGAAACAATATTAGATTATGTAAACACTGACTATGGTATTGAAATTGATGGTGTTAACACGGCGTATTTATATTTTGGAATGTGGAAAACGTCTTTTGCTTGGCATACGGAAGATATGGATTTATATTCAATTAATTACTTGCATTTTGGTGCACCAAAAACGTGGTATGCCATCCCCCCGCAACATGGAAGAAAATTTGAAAAATTAGCTAACCAAATGTTTAGTGAAAATTACAATGTATGTAATGCTCACTTGCGTCACAAAATGACTTTAATAAGCCCAAAAGTTTTACAAAATCATCATATACCATTTAATAAAATAACACAAGAACCGGGAGAATTTATGATAACATTTCCTTTTGGTTATCATGCTGGTTTTAATCATGGTTTCAATGCTGCTGAATCTACAAATTTTGCTACAGCGAGATGGATAGAATACGGAAAAAGAGCATCACAATGTCATTGCCGTAAGGATATGGTCAAAATATCAATGGAAACATTCGTTAGGAGATTCCAGCCTGAGAGATACAACGACTGGCTGAATGGGCAAGATTATGGATCTCATCCTGAGGAACCAGATAGAATATGTGCAGCTCCTATACCAGCATTAAATAAGTAATATAACCTTTTTTTAAAGTCTCTGAAGCACTTGTAAAATTTTTTTTGTAGGAAGACGGAATATTCTCCCAATAAGCAAAAACGTGGCTGCAGTGGTTCAACATTTTTAAATGATTCTTCGCCCAAGAAAAAATTAAAGTTATGTCCCCAAGAAAAAGTTTGCCTTCACGAATCTAAACCTAAGTTCAACTTCAATGCAGTAGCTATAGTTAAATTAAAAAAAATTTGGAACCAACTACCCGGTGGATGTCCAAAACTTTTATTCGGTGATCATATTGTCAAAAATTCTAAGCGTATGAGATTTCAGACTAAAACTATTGATTTAAATGAGGAAAATGACTAGAACACAATACTTTTTAAATGCTTAAAATGTGACGTCCTTTAGTAATCTAAATACGCAGATTGGTTTATATTAAGTACCAGAGAAATGCGTGGTCGGATAGTAACTTGTATTATTAATATAAATTTTAATTTCTTTACTAATTTAGTACATATATTCCTTTTGCATGGATGCATTTTTATTTGATATTCAAGCATTTTTCGGAAAAATACTTTTGGATCAATCTTGACTTTTTATAATTTTGCCTTCAATTTCTGTCGTTTGTTTAAGATTATAAAAATTTAAATTTTAATAATTTAAATAATACAATATTTTGAAAAACTATTAAGTAAAATGTGTTCGTGAATAAGTTAAATTAATTTGTTTGAACTAAAACGAAAAAACTCTTTGAAATTAAAAAAAATTACGAAAAATTAAAGCGTTAATTTGTGTTTTTTGTTACTTTTCTTAGTTGGAAATAGTAAACTGATCCCAATTTTCTTTTCTCGCAATTATAATAATATCCATAAGTTTAGTAGCTACATCGTTTAAGTAAAAAAAATTAAATACATATAAAGCAATTTAATATAACAATTTCAAATTAAAGTTTATGTTTATATTTAAATATACATACATTATAATGCATATTTAAGATATGACATTTTAAACATAGTTTAATAAATATTAGTAAATGTTATGGGAAATATTGAACTTTAAGCGAAAGGATTCAAATTATTATTATACAATTCAATAGATCTTATATTTCTTCTTGGTCTAGCGCTTTCCATTTCGTCAATTTCAAAGGGATTGGTTGATTGATTTTTCGAGGAAATTGGTTTCTGCTGGTGATGCACCGATTGTTGAGAAAAATCATGATCACTGCCATCAACATCAAAAGGGTTTGTGGACTCAGACTTTGATAAACTTTTCGAAATTTTATCCAGTTTTTGAACAGATTTTTTTGGTAAAAACTTAACTTCCTTTTTTTCAGTCTTTGCATATCTATAAGCTTCCTCAGCACGAATTCTAGCTTCGGCTTGCGTAATGTAATTCGTTTGTAAATCTTTGATCCTTCCTTCCGCGAGGCGTAATTTTGCTTCTGATATTGGAATGTTTTGCTGAGTTTCTTTTGAAATAATTTCTTTTGGTTCATCTTCTTCATTTATTACTACTATTTCGTTGAAGAGACCTCTTCCAAAATACTCCGACACAACGGAAAAGGGTTCATGAGAATTGATAAGCTCTTTATGAAATTCATTAGGAGTATTTTTAGATTCACTTTGTGCCTTTAATGCATTATTCAGTTGGGAATAACCTTCCAAACAAATTTTACAATCTTTTTCGCTGTCTGAATTAATTAGACATTCTTGATGAAATGCATGTTTACATAAGAAATAAGTAACAGGCATGGTTAAACGTTGGTGACATGAGTCACACATAGTATTCCTAAATTCGACAGGTTTTGAACAAATATTTTCTATTTTTCCTTTAATTACTTCTAAATTAATTTGCAAATTTTTAACTGTAACCTTTTCTTGGTTTGTTAATTGGGACTCCTTTCTAAAAACATGCGAAAAATAGTCCCGAACATTTCCCAATTTTATATTTTTATGTTTGTCCTTTGACACAAGGTAATTAAGAATTTGTAAAGGCGATTGCGGTTTCTCATTTGATGTATATATGTTATTCAGTACTAAGACTAACAAATCAGATGGAGCTTGCTCGTCATTTTCCAAACTATTAAGAACTTCTAGCCATAACGAAGGTTCTGATGACCCATTTCTCTTACAAAATTTTAATAACTCCTTGTAATTTCTATTTTCTAAATGGTAGCGCAACACTAGATGGTATAGTTTATTTTGTTCATAAATCCAAACTATTCCTTCTGAAAAATTATACAAACGGCATAAAATTAAAACGTGATTTACATCGTAAATTCCTTCAAATTGCAAAAATATTTCTATTAGACGATCTTTCACATTATTGCTTTCATTAACCTTTCTCAGATAGAGTTCAATTAGAGTATTTAAAACCTCTGGCGTTGGAATACAATCAACCACATTTTGAATAATATGCTCTAAAAAGTCAATCAGTTTATCGGTATTTTTAAAAAAAGATTTGAAAAACTTTCCAAAATCGGCAGATTTAAAGCTTATCAAAGAACTATTCGAAATTTCATAGCTTTGATCTTTTTGAAACATGCACAGCTTCTTTAATACATTCGTTGTTCTGTCAGGGCAATTATTCATTAATACAATTCCATACTTAATCAAAAGTTTTTCTGAGTCACTGAATGAAAGTTTTGAAATATAATCTAATGCCTCCTCAAACAAGGCTAGATCCTCAATCAAAATAGTCACACAATACTGATGCTTTTGATTTCTTTTGGATAATTCTAAAGCTAATTCAATTGAAGCTTTCCTACAAATTTTTATCGCTTCTTCTATGTCAAATGTAATGTCAGGGTGTGTATCTTTGGCTAAAAAATCCGTTAATTCTTCTTTTAACTCGAGCCTTGTAAGACAGTTTAGCAATAAAGTTGTATGATGATATGATACGGCTTTTCTATTTTTATGTAAAGCCAATAAATAATCAGTCAAAAATTTGGTATGTTTTGAATCTAAAAATTTCCTCGTTACGTACGAAGGTTCAAGATAACCTATAGTTTTTATATAATTTTCAACAGCTCCTTCATAGTCTCCTAAAAATTATTTAATAAATTAAATATTTTTTTTTGCTGATATAATAAACAGTTGAATATACTTACTTTTAATATATAAATGGTCACCATATTGTTTATAAATTCCTGCGAGTCCCTCAGGATCATATTGCTCGCGGGTTGCAACTTTAACTGCCACTTCATACTGATTTTTTTTGAAAAGAACGTTCAACTTACTTTGAAAGTCCTTTTCGCACAATCGAAATAGCTCATTATTTTTTGTTAAAATATATGAAACCCCAAATTCTTTAAAAATGGCAACAACCTCATTAATATTGCAATTGAATATAATTATATTATCTTGAATATCAATTACGCTAAGAGATTGTTTATCAGTTGTTGTTTTTGTTATTTTGCTTATTACAATTAATCCTGTTCTAAAGCATTCAACTAATGATTTCTGACCCTCCAAAACATAACATGGACCACGACCGTCCTTGTTAAAGCAATAAATTGCATCGTCTCTTCCAACAATAAAACTTAATTCATTCCCGGTTTCTGGATGATTTTGCAAGGCATAGCATCTAGTAGGGGAACAGTTTTCATCTAAAACTGTTTTGATTTCTTTATCTTTACTTTTTAAGTTATAAACGACGATGCATGTATCGGAACAAACAAACATATTTATGTTTTTTTCTTGTAATTGAAAGGCAATCCCAACTATAGCACTCTTTGAACATTTAAATTTTTTTAAAATCTTTGTATTATCCCTACCAATATCCCCCCGATATAGCGATATATAACCGAGCTCATAGCCAATAGCCATAATTTGTCCGTTGTCTGTAACAGCTAAAGCTGTGGGCTTTTGTAACAATTCTGCAGTAACCTTTCTTAAGCATGGTGCTCCACAATTCTTTGTGATTTTTGATAAATTCCATACCTTAAAAACCTCGTTAATTTCTTCTCCAGATATTGTTACAAGTAAATTATTTTGTATTGATAATGCACATAAATTAATCGACATGTCATGGCCCTTGAACGATGTGAATTCCCAATTACGTCCAAATACATGTATGCCACCTTGTGAGTCACATATAATATTTTGACCTCTTCCACTTGCATAACATGTTACTTGACTGCCTTGCAAGGCCGCAGTTATTTTCGTACTGTTTTCATCAGGTTTTAAATCAAATAAATTTACTCTTCTCCACTCAAAACTAGCCATTATAACACTTGTAATATTTCTGATGTCCTGCAAAGTATTAACTTTGTTAAAATATAAATATTAATGTTTCATTTTATGATTAAACCACTTTACAACATTTCAACAAATTTTTGTTCTCGTTTAGATCGTAACGAAGAACTTTTCTTATATTTAATGCTTTAAACTTCTATCTACTTAATTGAGCAATTACCTTTTCGCAAGTTAATTACATGGGTATAAAAACATTAATTCATTCAATCGATTTGTCAACAACTTATAATTAATTTATTTTTCGCTTTAATTCGCAAAAAGATTTATCAAACAGCCCTATCATTCCAGCTGAAGTATAATTATATGCATTATAATTTTAATACGCAATGCAAATGCAAACACAAACCCACATTTTTGACAGTAAATGTCAATCGGATAATTTTTGACAACATCCAAGTCTATGATGAAATTAATAAGATCTGTCAAAAATAATTAATTTTTGATGGAAAAATGTTTGATGACCACTTCCCACAAAAACAATGTTCAACCAGTCGATTTTAATGGACTGAATAGTGGTTTTGTGGAAAATAACCGTCAACCCCAAAAGGTATCAGCAGATTTTCCTAAAAATTCCATTATTTTTGCCTGAGATGTAGTTTTGCTTAATTGCTTAGAGTTCCATAATGCCAGTTTAACTAAAAATAGTCAGTTATTTAATAAAAACTGTATTCCAAGGGAAATAGATTATTACAATTCGATTTTGATATTTTACGTCGAATACGATTTGACGTCAAAAAATACGATTTACGCTTCTCATAACAAAATATTGGTAGTGGCGCTATTCCTTCAATTTGCGGCGTGTTTTGACATTTACTTTAAAAGCGTTGGTTGACAGCAAATATACATATATTAAATTCAAAAGCTAGCTTGGAGTGTTGTTTATTTTCATATTTAAATGCTTTGATCATAAAAAATTTCGGCTATAATGAGTGTAATGGCAGTAGATTATTTAAACAAACCAGACAAACGGAAAAAGAAAACATCACTTTTTCAATATAAACAGTACTTGAAGGCATTGGAAGAGGATGAAATATTTCGGACTGGATTTATTCCTCCAGGGTTAGTGTAAACGAAATTTTTTGTTTTCCAATTAATTAAAGTTAAATATGTACATTTTAGTCGTGATGCTAATTATTTATCTTTAAAATGGAAAGAATTAGCTGACAAACTGAATGAAGACGATAAAGGTCCAAAATTATCAGCTGAAGAATGGAAGAAAGTATAAATTTCTTTTTCAATATATACAAAGCAGATTTTATATGCTTGCTTTTTAGAGATTAATGGATTGGAAGCATACTACTAGAGCAAAAGAAAGACGTATCAATGAAGGAAATACACATTTGCGTATGACTCCTTTGGAAGTTAGATTTATGGAATTATGGGGTTGCGTACCTACGATTATAAACATTTCGTCCATAAAAACAGATAGCAAACCTTCAGACATAAAGATTGAAAAAAGCAATGAAACTGAAAAGGTAAATGATATATAAAGTTATGATAAAAGTCTAGGTAAATTTTGCGTTATTGAATATAGTCCTATATTTGAACTTTTTACTTAAAATAATCACGCTTATTTTTTCTTGTTTTATTATACCACAAAATTTTATTTTGTGCAACTTATTTTTAACAGATATTTGAGGAAGCATTGGAAGAGCCTGAAACTAAACAGGATATAGCAACAATTACAGCGCATGAACTTCAACTACTCTCGTCCGCATCGCAGTCGCAGTTGCAATCTGTTCCTCCTTCTCATGAAATCAAAGTCGTTGAGCAAATCCAGATAACTGCTCCAGAAAAAAAGCCTCAAGTTTCGAATGATTCAATAAATTTAGAACAAACAACGACACATGCAACTAGTGTAGCAGAAAAGAAAAACGAAAACAATAGATCTTCACCACCGCCACTTAAACGCGTGAGAATGGGCAATATTTCTCAAGCTCACATAACGCAAATACCAATATCAATTGCAAATGGTAATGATTTCAATGAAACAAATAATTTGACATCTAATGCAAATACAGCAATGACCGTTACAAGTACAACAATACCAGCTCAAATCAGTACGACTAGAGAAAATTTACAAATATTGACCCAAACTTTAACAGCCCCACAAGCAAATAATTTACATAATACACCAGAAATAGGTAAGTTTTGTACGTTTAAAATAAGTTCACTTTGAAGGCTTCAACTCAAAGCTTTTTTTTAGCTTATACAATTAATACTTTACCACAAGAAAATGACTCTATTCCAGTTATAGATGTTCAGAACATCGCATCACAAATAAAGCGTTTAGCTGATATAAAAGAACAAAAATTGAGATTTGAGATAGAAAAATTTAAATTTAAGAACCCAGGTTTCCAATACAATTTTTAAAATAATATTTTATTTAATATTAGGACTTTTAATTGTAAATTTATTATAAGTTAATAAAATAAATTTGTAAAGTAGTTTACAAAAATTAAGGTCGCTTTTCAATTCCGTAGTATTAAAAACGCATAGATAATTAAAAATTCAAAAAATTAAATTCTATACTGCAAATCCATTATAATTTATTAATTTTAAAGATATTTTGCAAGTAATTTCATTTTAATACGATTACATTTTTTAAATATAATTTTTAATTTAATTATTAAATAAAAAAAGACTTATATTATTATCAAAAAAAAAAAAAACAAAACTATCTATAATTCATTTCCAATTATTACTAATATATATTGTTATTTATGTATATAATAATATAACTTAAGTGTAATGTTTCACAAGATGAAACTATCTTTTAACTGACATTCTGAAATTAAAAAAGTAGTTTTTACATAATAGTTCGAATGGACCAAAATTAGGTTATTTACGAATTAAATATGAATATATTTACATTCTTTTCGGTTGATTATTTATATAATAAACAATAAAATAGAGCGATGAAATTACCTGGTTTAGTTGATAATAAGCTAAATTAATAATAAAGTTGAAAACAACTTAAAATCTAGATTTACTCCTCAGATATGAGTGAATTTTGTTGTGCACTAATATTTGTTGAGGGCAATAGTGTTTGCTCACTTTGAATTTGTTCAGTCGTTGAAAGATTTATAGACAAATAAACATTGTTCGGGAAACATAAAAGAACAGAAGTTGGATCGCGATCTTGTTCTACTGACTGAGATTCTTCTTGCTCTGTTGGTTGCACAGTGGACCCACTTTCAGTGTTAATTATTTCAGAATTTCCACTTACATTTTCACATGATACAGGTTCAGTTTTACTTAATTTTACATGTTTTGATAATGGTTCAGTATCAGATTCTGAAAATTCTGTAGTGGATTTAGTGTTTATTCTACTATGTAGTTTCCTTTTCCGATCTTTTTCTTTTAACCTTTTACACTTATGATCCTTTTTTTTTGAAGACTCATATTTTCCTTTCGTTTTCTTACCCCTTTTAGAGCTTTCAGTGCTTTTAGTAATGCTTTCATCTTTTTTTAAACGTGTGGAATGTTGCTTATCACTTTTAAATTTTTGTTGCAATTTACAATTTTTTTCCACCCTCAGTAACATTTTTCGAATGGATTTGTAACGTTTAATATTTTCGGCGTTACTGTTAGTACTTTTATTGCTAATGTTACCACGATGTATCTTGTCACTCAAATTGCTGCTACTACTTACATCACTGGTACCGTTGCTAGTACTACTACTACTACCACTAATACTTGTGCTAGTACTACTACTACTACTACTTCTTTTATTTCTAGTTCCATTAACTTTCATTTTGAGAGCAGAAGAACTTGAAGAGCTGGAGCTGGAGCTTCGTGTGGATTTACGTAGGGCGTGCCCTTTCCTATTTAATTTACCTAGACCTCGAACACTGGTTTTATTCTTGAAATTTTTGCTCTTGCCACTTTGACAACTGCTGCTGCTACTACTGCGAGTGCCGCTTGATGTGTTTGAAGAACTGGTGGCCGAGTTCGCACTTGATACAGATTTTTTAGTATTAACTGCGTGGTCAACCGAACTTGATGATTTGTGGTCATCATCATCACTTTCATGTCTTGAACTGTCAATATCTGAGCTCGAACTTGATTGATATATATTTTTGTAACTACGTCCGTTACGGTTCCCGAAAATTTTAGGTTTTGAAGATTTATATTTTTGTCGTTTATCGCGAGAGGATGACGAAGAATATAACAAAGACATTGGTTTTCCTCCACTTGTTATACCCGATGAGGTAGATGGACCAGCAATAAATTCTGATTTGATTGTTTTCTCGGATTGCCTTGTTCTAATTTTTTTTTGACGATTCCTTCTCGTTTCCACAGGTGGCTTAAAATCTGAATCTGAGGAATGGTCAACGTCAGATGATGGTATAAATATGCCTAAAATTATAAACAACTGTTAAATAATATTTTAATAGAATATCAGCAAAAATTTTGTTTGTTTTTATAAAAGTTTCCTATAATTTAGCTTTTAAACCAACTACAAGGATACATAACAAAATTCATAATGATATAATAAGAATGGATATGACATTAAACTATACTAGATCTATACAATGTTTCATTTTGATTTTCAGTAATTGTTTTCTATAGTTTCAATAATTTGTAAATTAAAGTGCACAGTTGATATCTTGCCGAAATAATTAACTCTTTTTTTTCTATAATTTATAAAACAGTTAACCAATCTTATTTCTTTTATGCAAGTTTAAAACAAACAAATTTTTTTCGTAAGTGTTATGTTTATACAATTTTAAATTTCTCACTATTTATACCTCTAATGTTTCTCATTTTTGAACTTCTCATTTTTCTTTGTTTAGCAATACTGAAAGAAACTCCACTTGTGCCTGGGGTGGGTCCATTGCTTGCAGTTTTTTCTACTCTCCGTTCTTCGCTTATGAAAACCACATCACTATCAGAATCGGAATTCAAACTAACCATTTCAGGAGTTCGAAGGTGTGGGGGTTTTCTTTCTAAAACGAACTCACAAGCATCACTACTTGTACTACTAAGTAAAGATACTCTGTCATCACTAATTTGGCGTGATGACTGATTTGTTTCTGTTATTTCAATAGGACTTTCATTCAAAATTCTTATTTCTGAGCTCATTTGATTATTAGTTTCATTATTTGAAATGCCAGGATTATTGTTGGTTGATAAGTTTATTGCAGTTAATTGAGAATTTTGATTTTGAATATTTGATGTGTCGAGATTATTGTTGTTGCTGCCATTGCTATCACCATCAGCAATTATTATATGAACTGTTGAAACGGCAGAATTTTGGTTATTTGATGTTTCAATGGTTAACCCAAGTGCGGGATTGTTACGTTGTCTTCTGTTGTTATATAAGGATTCAGTTAAAAGTTGTGGACTATCACCTGCAATTTCAGCTACTTCATCCGAGTCGCTTGATGAAGATGTTTCATTTATAACAACTTCGCCTTCATTTGAATTTCCAGCGTATCGAACTTCTCTGTCATATCCAATCATATCATAAGGACTTCTAGCAAAATTAAGAAACTCATGAATAAAATGTGCTGTATGTTGGCCCAACTAAAGAAAGAAAAAAAAATATTCACTTAGAAAAAAGTAACCAAGCAAAGATCAAACTTACGAAAGGTGACACACGACGACGAAAATCTGGAGAGTTTATATTGAATATTGTAAGCAAATGGGGAATCATCTCTAGTAATGTACTTGTTGAATAATTCGTGTCTCTTAACAAACATATTAATTCACGGTTTAGCCATGGCATTAAACGATGAACTTGAGTGGGATTTTCCCTAAGGATAAAAAGTATATAAACTTTTATATTTCATGCAATAAAAAAAAAAACATTTTTTTTCCAAATTGAATTTTCATTGTTTCGAATGCCATTAAAAATATAATATGTATGTATGCCTATGCATATTTGAACTTTAAACTGATTTAGTGTTATTTCACTAATTATTTTGTTTCCAAAACTTTATATTATTTAAGTTTAATACTGATATTTTTAATTTTGAAGAGTTATATTTTCAACAATTTTACTACCTGATTATGATAACCAAGCAGTTTATTTACCTATAAAATCTGGCTGAACATTCTCGAAAACGACCTGTTACATCAGGCAGCGGCGAGGCGTATAATTCTCCATCATAAACGTAGCGTCGAAATCTGGTAGAAATATTTGATCGTAACTGAATTATGGAGTTTGAAAGCGTGTTTGACTGCAACTGCATCGCGGCATTGAAAGTACTACGGCTATTTAAATTTTTTCATTATTATTTCATATTTTCATTATCAACACTTTTATTTCCTTTACGGTATTTGGTAACTAAAGAATGTATTTCTATGTTATAAGCAGTACTTTGTACCCAGATCATAATACTTTAGTACATCTATTATTCCTACATTTTATAATTTTATTTTCAATTCACTACTTGTTATAAAATTTATGTTTTTGCTTCAATGCATTGTTTTGTTATATTTTCAATAATTTTTTTGACAATAACACGTTAAAATACATTTTTTATTTATCAAATATCTAAGTAAAAATACGGAGTAAAATTCGAAATATGTAAAATTACCTTGGTATTTGTATATGAGCTCGCATTGGCCGGGAAAAGTCTGGAAATATATTTGATGGTGATTGTACCCAATATTCTTCAAACTGATCATCCGATTTAACGTTATGAATAATTGATTTAAAACATTGTTTGCATAGAGGACATTCTGCTTTGACCTAATAAATTTTAATAAAATTTTATTAAAAATTATAAACATATTGATTTTTCTTCACATACTTTACTCCATTCTAATAAACATTTAAAACAAAACTGGTGCAAGCATGAATCCGTGAAACATTTATTTTTACATTTTCCCAAACAAATAGCACAATTTGGTGGAGGAGATCCATTAGCAACACGACCATGAAATGTACTTTCATCTGAAGAACTTGTACTTTCCGGGGATTTAATTGGTCTTCGTATAAAATCCGGTGTAGCAGGACACTGATCAACTCTTTCTGGAGTGACAGGGCACTCCATTGCAAAGCTCCGAGCCATAAAATAATCTTTTAAATATTTTCACTTATTAAATAAAAAAACACAAATCCTAGGCAATTTACTTTATATTGTCTTCCTACAACAATATGGAGTTAGAATGGAGTTTTTTTTTTGCAATATAAAATTGTTTCGATTAGAAACTACCCCACATATGTAAAACTAATTGTTTACTTGTTGAAGTATTGTAATAATTATTGTTAATTGCTTATTTTAGTTAAAAGCTAAATATTTTTTTTTATTTTTAAACATATTTCGAAAAAATTTATTTCAATTTGACAATAAAATAAGCAGCTGGCTAGCCCTAATTTTATTCCATTAATAAAGATGGTATTGATGGAAATGACAGTATTATAGATACAAAATATAGCATTCAAATTGTCAATTATATCAAACCCAATCAACATTCGTGAACTAAATGAAAAACTTCATTTCAAATATTTTAGGCTACCGCTTGTGTATTATAAAAGATTTATTTTAAAAACATTTTTAATCGACTGCTATAAAGTTACAAAAATAAAGAGTAAATAATTTAAATTTTTTCTTAAAATAATCAACAATATTCTGATCAGCGTTCCCACTTGGATACAATTGTATCCATTTGGATAGATTTTTGCTTTAAAATTTAGCTTGGATACAAAGATACTCAAATCTGCTAAAATGCCGAAATTGGCTACATTTTAAAAACTTAAAGTGTTACTAATATTAAATCCCGAAATTGCTTTATTTTCAAAAAAATCTTATTTGCTGACTAAATAAAATTTGTTTTCATGGTGAATCGTTTTTACATCATAGTTCAACAGCTACAGAACATATATTTTCTGACCTTAACTTTTAAAATGTAGTAGAAATTGCGTGTGATTTCTTAAATAATTTACTATAAATAACCAAACTCACAATGTTGAATAAAGCAAATTAATATTATTTATGAGTTTATTTGTACAAAATAAGACGATTTTGTACAATAATTCTACTTTAAGAGGCTGGATACATTTTTTTCTTCAAATTGGATACATTTTGTTTTTACCGAGTGGGAACACTGATTCTGATAGTCGTTAAAATGGTACCAATTTTGACGTAATAGCAAATGTTAACATGATCGTGTGTGCCCTTTCTGTAAGGTATTGTTTATACATATGTATATTATTCGAAAAAATATAAAATTTAATCTATGTTTGATGAAAGTCGGATATGTACATACTATTTTTATTATGAAACATTGTATGACGGCAGATAATTAAAATTAGTTTTTTCTCAACGAACTTGCTGACATTTTTATAAAAAATAAAATGGTGACAATGAACTTTAAAAGTTTTGAACAGCGGTTTGTTGGTTTTGCTTTGGTAATAATTTTAGTAGGAAAATTATTAATTTTTGACGTACAGTCTTATCCCCATCAAATAATTTTAGTCTGATCATATATAAGATATTAGATATCAGATATTATAAAAATTTAACCTTTAAATGTTAAATTATGCTCCATTTTCAAAAAAATATGTTTATTTTTTTTATTTATTTTTATATTTGTGGCTGTCCATATAATGTTAGCCGCAATTCGTCGAGTTACAAAGTTTAAATAAGTATAGTGAGGTTACACACCTTTAAGGTATAAGTACTCTTATTGCCTGTTGCTGTTGCTAGTTTGTGATGTACATATGCCAAACGCAATTTTAACCAATTTTACTATGTCTATGGAGCACGCGGTTTTTTTATTTTATAAAACAAAAAGAATAACAAACAAAGTTTCTAATAAAATCAGTGAAAGCAAATCCCAAGTTTGTCAAAAGTTTTGCAGTATATTCAATCAAATACGAACTAGTAACATTAGGAAATCTTTCGGAATTCAGAATTATTATAAAAATCTAAAAAAAATTACCTTGATTTTGAAATTTAATTACCTATTATTTTAACATTAAATATACACAAAATTCCATTGCAAATATTTCGTGAAAACGTGGAGCAAAGTTGAGTTTTGTTATATTCTTAATATCGCTTCTTTGGAATGAATAAACGAAAACGCTTATTAATAGCTATATGTCAAAGTTGAAGTTTGACACACATCATGACGCTTGAATACTGAATTTAACTGAGCGTTCTTATAAGCGAGTTATTAACAAAACTATTTCAATGTACATCGTTTCTTTGCAAGTTTAGTTTATATTATGTTCTCCTACCTAATAATACAATAGTGAATACAGTTTTATTTAATAATACAAATATTTAGTATGCTACACTTAGTAACCTGAAAAAGTGTATACCAACCATTTTATGGAAAAACGAGATATATTTAGTAACTATGGTAAACCTGGTTTTTCAAACATTGTATAACGTTTCTGTCAAAATGGCATTATTCCTACATCTATATAATTATTCCTATCATTCAAAAGTAGATTTTATGTGCTGTTTTGCAAATCTGCATATATGCAGATTTCTCTCACGCTCCCTCTGTGGTCGTCAAAATCTTTGATTTCAATCTATCATAATTGCGAATAAATAATATTTTTATTGATATTTTTTTTTTTATTCAATTAGTTAATCTATTTATTATTCCACATATTAAATAAAATTTTAAATGAACAGATTAATCGATCTTTTGAATTGGATCTTAAATTGATATAAGCTATTTGTTTATTATAAAAAAAGTGGAAGCGCGTCTTTTTAACAAAAGATCAACCGCGAGACGAAAAGCGTGGTTTAATGATCCGTGATTTGACTACAAAATTTGATCTGGCAAAGTGGTTTACTTCAAAAAAAAATTTTAATTTAGAGGAATTTTCTGTTTCTGATATTTAGTATGGGCGCATATTTATCTGAACCGGTGAAAGAAACACACTCGATAGATGAAGCAAATGAATTTTTACAAGTTGGAGCAAGCTCCATGCAGGGTTGGAGAATTAGTCAAGAAGTAATTAATTAGAATTTAAATGTTTTTGACAAATGGCTAATATAAATTCTTGCAGGATGCACATAATTGCATTTTAAAACTCGATGAAAATACTTCATATTTTGCCGTATATGATGGACATGGTGGTGCAGAAGTGGCAAAATATTGCTCTGAACACTTACCGAATTTCTTGAAAAATTTACAGTCTTTTAAGGATGGAAAATATGAAGAAGCACTAAAAGAAGCATTCCTAAAATTTGATAGCACATTACTTGAAGAGAGTGTTATAGAAGAGCTAAAAAGAATTGCCGGTGAAAGAAATCCCGCTGGAAATAGTAGCAATATTGTGGATGAAGAAGAAGAAGAAGATTTAGCGGAACTATGTCAAGAGGGATCACTACCCCTAGAGAAAGTTCTAGCAAAATACAAAGCAAAAAAAGATTCAACCCTGCAAGATCAAGATAATAACAAAAATGAAGAAGCAAAACCAGGAAGCTCCGGTAAGCGCAATTAAAAAAAACAGTATATATTCGCAATTCTTTTAGATACGAGAAAATAAAAACAGTCAATTATTTTTAGGAACCTCAAAGCCTTTGTCGCCGCGATTACGGGGAAAAAGAAATACAGGAAAAAGTCCAGAAAATGAAGCTGCTTGTACGTCTGCGTATTTATCAGGCGAAGGTACAAGCGACAGTGTAAATTTTTCAGAACCAAATGATGATTCCGAAGTAAGCAGTTCCGAAGCTAAATGTATTTTTGAAAAGAAAGTAAATGAAGAAGAATGCGAAATGAAATCAAGTGAAGCAATTTCAGTTAGTGGGGGAATATCAAAAACAAATGGGGATAAAATTATAACGGAACCAATAGCACCTGCATCAACATCAAGTATACAAAGTAGTACTTCTCCCGATAGTTCAGTATCAAATTCAATAAAGGACGTTCAAAATGGAGATTTAAAAACTGAACTATCTTCAGGTGTTTCATCCTCTACCTCAAATAACGAAAATGGGCCAAAACCAAGTGAACCAGAAAATAAAGAGAATAGTGATTTGGACTTAGATGACAAAGATTATGTGTATTTTGAAGAAGAAGAAGATGAAGATTCCAGTGAGTGCGAAGAATGTAGCGAGGAATATGATGAATATGAAAAAGAATTCAATGCAGAATCCTCTGACGAGGAAGCTGATGATTGGATGTATAAAGATGATACTTATGGGGATGATAAATTTTGTGCTAACATGATAGAAGAACCAGGAAAGGATAGTGGATGTACAGCTGTAGTTGCACTTCTAAATGGCCGAGATTTATATGTTGCCAACGCTGGCGATTCTAGATGTGTAGTCTGCCGAGGTGGTAAAGCAATTGATATGAGTATTGATCACAAGCCAGAAGATGATGAAGAATTAAAAAGAATCAAAAAAGCTGGAGGACATGTAACTTTTGATGGGCGTGTTAATGGTGGATTAAATTTATCAAGAGCAATTGGAGATCATGCATATAAAATGGTAACATTGAATTATTCTTTACGTGTACCGAAATTCTTTTATGTTTTTTTATTTAAGAATTCTAAATTGAAACCTGAAGAACAAATGATCTCAGCTCTACCAGACGTGAAAAAATTAATCTTAGAGCCCAATGATGAATTTATGATACTTGCGTGTGACGGTATTTGGAATTACATGTCAAGTGAGGAAGTTGTAGAGTTAGTTAAAGAATTTATAGACGAGGATTTTGAGGAAATGTCTTCCATCTGTGAAGAAGTACTATCAAAATTTGAATTAAAAATATTATTTTTATAAAACTTAATAAAATTAATTTTACAGCTTCTTAATACATGTTTGTCACCAAGTACATTAGGAGATGGAACAGGTTGTGACAACATGACTGCTATTATAATTCGTTTTAAACCAACTATTTTTGAATTATCAACAAAACTAAATCCAGATGAAACAATATTAAATGAAGAGAAAAAAGTTTCGGATTCAGAAAAACCTGCCGAGTCAACCAGTGAAACTGAGGATAAACCACCAAAAACAAAAAAACGTTCGATATCGCCAACGTCCAGCGATAACTCTGATTTAACATCAACAGCTGTAACGGGGAATGATTCAGAAGAACAATCGAAAAAGCGCTTCAAGTCAAGTGCTGCCTCTTCATCGAGTACTTTAAATTCAGAAATTTCTACAGAAGCTAATAACAAAACGGCTAACATTACAAATGCTATAGAACAAAATGATAATCAATCACAAATGGATACAGCTACAGTCGAACCTGAAACACTTGTTACAGGTGCTGAAACGGGTGTCATAACAACAACCTCTGAGACTTAATTTTGATCTCTTGAGTTTTGGAAATTTAATAATGAAAATCACGAAATGTAAAATGTAAAAACATAAAATATTCTTTAACATTCTACATTATTTCAAATTAATTATGGGTGAAAAATTTATATACATAATATTTAATTATATACGTATATATACATATATATACATATATATATATATATATGTCGTTTTTGTAAAACGTAGATATATGCATGTAGATACAAACATGTAGGTACGTACATATGTATATAATATTTTCGTTGTATTTTAATTTTTCTCCATAAGATCACATAAATTATATTCTATAAGTTTCTTTTCATTTTTGTTTTATTATTTTTTCTTAATCAAACTTCAAATCATAGTTTATCCTTAATTAATAACTGCTAAAGCAAAACGAACGAAAACATACATAATTTTAAAATAAACATCCTAAATATAATACAAATTATAAAATATGTATTGCAATTTTATTTGATTTCAACATAAAAAATCACACAAATTCTCTTATGGCATGGCATGTATTAATAATAAGTTCAATTTAAAATAAAAAAAGGTTTAAGTTGGTACAGGAATCAGGTATAAAAAAGCATACTGGAAAAATTTCTGTGGTTAAAATTAGATTTTTAAAAATTGCTTATACAAAAAAAAATTAAAAAGTTTCAAACAACGATCTTCTTCATAAAAGTCATTTTAAATGTACTAGTATGTACCATATAATATAAATTATAGGGTATGAATTGTAACTTTGTTTTAAACGTAAAAAATTACACTATTTCTCAATATGCAAAGTATATTAACAACTTGTTTTTTATTAGTTATATAGGTATATATGATTTAATTTTTATACAATTTAAAAGAATTCTAATTAAAAACGAGAATTGAATACTGCAGAAAAGTAAATGAAAAATTTAAGTGTTTCTCAAAATTGTTCACCTCAAAACTCAACATATTTCCCAAACATCAACGTCCTTTCCAAAAACTATATTTTCTCGACAAATAAAAATTTAATTGTCACACGTATATCAATAACGATAATTATAACTTCGTAATAAAGTCGGAAATTCGAAGCCAATTATTTATTTATGTACATAATTATTGTAGTATTGATATCACCTTTTATCGATTTGTCCAAAGTTTTTAATTTTGCGCACAAAAACATTTATGCCAATACACCTAAGTCCTATATTTTCTTAAAAAACTTATTTTTTGGTGAAGAAGTTGTTTGTTTTTTTTAACTTTACGAGAATTGTGTATCTAAAATGCCAATTTAATTGTTAAATTTTTTATATAAAAATGAGTATTCTTTAATTTTATCTTTAAAATAAAAAAATCAATGAATGCTAGTATGTACTTTTGCAATTTACACGTATAATACATGAATAAATATCTTATTTCTTTATATATTACGGATTTAGTCAAATTTTATTGTGTTTGCAAATAGTTGTTTATTATTTCCAGCTGTTCCGACTCAATGCGTTGTAAATATTGGTATTCAACTTTCAGGCGATCAAGATCTAACGTACGCTCTTGTATTTTCGATTGAAAACTTTGTTGTTGAATTTGTCGTTGCTTGAAAATTGTTTTTAACAAATTTTGAGCGCTAATTGCCCGGATTTTTTCTTTTTCAACATCCAATGAATAATTTGAGGCTGTTTTCACAAAATCCGTGGCTAGAATCTTAAAACTCTGCAGTTCTAAAATGTATTTGTATATAAGTTTTTTTTCATAAATGTGTACATATGTATACATATAATGTTAAAATATTTTATTATACATAATATATGTATGTAGGCACATACTTTCAACATATTCGTTGCATTTATCTCTAAGTTCATTTCTTTCAATTGCAATTTTCGGATCGACGATTCTTAGTAAATATATATCGTCGATATATAAACCAGCTTTTAACAATTCGTCAGCCATTTACAAAAAGAAACACGATGCAAATATAAAATATGTATATGAATTCTCCTGCAAATATTACATTTACCTCAAAAGATGCAATCAATGCTATTTATTCATATCCTTAGTCTTTGGTTTTTGTTTTTATAACAAGGTAATTCTTGACAATTCACTATAAGTATGCATAAGGGTTACAACCCTCCCAACTTTTTACTAATGTAATTTTAATAATGTCGTTTACATTAGTATAGAGTTGCAGATATAAAATTTGATTTTGCGGAAAATGGACAGATAGAAAATTCCATTTGAGAACAAAAGAAACATTCTAACATTTTTTCCTCAAAATTCTGTAGTGAAACTTTGTAAAAACTATAATAAAAAATGGATTGCTCTATGCAGTGCATTTCAAAAAACATGCTGCGGTTGTAATTCTAACTTAGAGTGTGAGCTCAAGGTGCATTTCATCTCAATAGACCTTCTTCCACTGCGCCAAACCCGATTTACCATGAAAATTTTTAAAATATATGTGGAACCAATGCATTTTCTAATACATCTAGCTTACACCAATATATTTCCTGTATATTCTTGTCTCTTCTAGATTTGAACACAAGAATGGTGGTACTAATTTAATATACTAGAATCTTTGTTACTTTCTTCTAAAAAATTTGGAAATCTGTTTAGTAAAGCCAGCAAATAACATTTTTCTTACAAATAAAGCAATTTCACGATTTAATATTAGCAGGGCTATGACAGTTTTGTAATATTTATTTAGTGTTTGAAAAAGAAAGAAAGAAAAAGAAGGCATTTTAGCATATTTGAGTAGTTTTGTATCCAACCTAAATTTAAAGCAAAAATGTATCCAAATCACGGTTGACAGAAATACTGTCAATGATTTTTTTGTAATGTCAAAATCTAAATCGGTACAATTGTATCTAAGTGGGAACGCTGGCAGGAAGTGTCATTTATACGTACTGACCACGGCTGACAGAAATTTTTCATAATGTCAAAGTACTGACCGAAAATCGAAATTTAGTTCTAAATTAACTATATAATATATAAGTCAAATATATTCATATCTACTTTAAATAATATATTATATCTATGATAAAGGAAAAATAGCATTGTACATGTACGCTACCATTAATATTATGAATTTAATATATTAACGTCATAATTGCATCCATTCCATGTTAGCTAAATCAAAAATAAAATGTTTGGTTGCGACCCGAAAAGTTATGATTTAAAAGTAGAACTAGCAAAGTGTTGTAACAACATAGGAACTGTTTTTTTGGCGTAAGTAGATAGGATAAATACTATTGTTAATTTATAAATACCAAACAAATTAAATAACAAGCCAACTTAGCACGTATAAAGTAAAATAAGTACCTAGCTACCTTACTACATGTATAAAAATATTGTTTATATGAAAAATATGTTTTTTTAAGCCGACATATACCAAATGGGGAATATGTAGCAGTTAAAAAATATCGAATTGATTTTGCAAGAGAAGAAAGTAATCTAATAAGAGATGAAATATTAATTATGCGTCAATTTAATCACCCAAATATTTTATCATTTTACACTGCATTTGTTTATGATTTCGAAGTTTATGTAATATCACCACTTATGTGTTTTGGAAGTTGTAAGGATACAATAGCAAATTGCTTTCAAACTGGAATACCAGAAATAATTATATCTTTAATTTTGCGTGATATACTTTTAGGTAATAATTCATCTAAAAAAAATTTGTAATTTTCTACGTAAAATATATACCTATCTAGGTTTAGAATATCTCCACCAAAAAGGGTTCATACATCGCGCTATTAGAGCTAGTCATATATTATTGAATAAAACGAGAGCACTCATAACTGGTTTTCGTGAATGTACAAATATCGTCAGTCATGGCGAGCGCACTAAAATTTTACATAACTTAGCACCTTATAGTAAAAAGTCACTGAACTGGTTAGCCCCAGAAGTGCTGGAGCAAAATTTATTAGGATATACAGAAAAGTCAGATGTGTATAGCGTAGGAATCACGGCCTGTGAATTGTAATCACCTCCATTTCACCTGGTTGATTTCATAATTTAAAGTTTCCGTGTTTATTTGTTTTTAGAGCAAATGGGGTGGAGCCTTTTGCTGACATGAAATCAACTTTTATGCTTACAGAAAAAATAAGAGGTAGTCCAATAACTCTTCTTGATAATTCAACATGTCCTACTGAAGAATTAATCGGTACATTTATTTTTTAGACTTTTAATAAAAAAATGATTAATATAATAATATTTTCATATAAAGCACAACAATGTGGAACTGGAATTGATTCTATCGCTGTGAAAACGAGGCAGATATATGGGCAAAGGCAATTTTCGGAACCCTTTCATAAATTCACAGAATTATGCACAGAACGTTTCCCAAATGACCGACCACCAATTACGCAACTTTTGAACCATTCTTTTTTTAAACAATGTAAAAACACATGTCTTTACGAACAATTGAAAACTTTTGGTGTTGAGGTTGCTGATTATGAAAATCTTAGAGGTAAGAGAAATGAATGATTCAAATAATTTTCCTAATTTATTTTTTGTAGATGAAACAATTGGTTTGTCATGTGAAATAAACGAAATGTGCTTAAATGATAATTTCGATTGGGATTTTTAAAAATATAAAATATCTATGGATATGAGTTTAAAATAATATAGGATTGTTCATTTAATAATCTACTTCTGAGTGAACAATTTTAAGAATAAATACCTACTACTTTTCGAAAAAATTTCTTTAGCTACTGAAAAATTATTACTTTATTTTGTAGATATTTTAAAACTAGATTCCTAGCGAATTTACACATTTTTCCGGCTCTCCTTTTTTGCAAAGGTAAAGAAATGTATATTTAAGTACACATTGAAGGATGATGACTTTAATCTGCCCCTTTTTTTTTGTATTGTCAAAATACAGATCAACATTAAAATTAAAAATTTGAAAACGAATTATAAACGTTTATTAGAAAAATCGCAATATACATTAAATATATAATTATACATGTATGTACATATAAACATATAAAAAAAAGTTCCGAAACTGACGCATAGAATTATGTATAAAAAAAAATAATAAAAATTTGTTTATAATACTACCAAAATGGAAGGTTATTTTTTTTAATTATTAAATAATATGTTTCATAAAACATGTTTAATTATGAAAGTAATTTGTTTGATTTTTTTTTATTCAACATGAAATAATTTTATCCGCTCATTACCATACGGACAAATTCTTCATAATTAACATTTCCTTGAGAATCTTCTTGATTAACAAGCAATTGTTCAACTTCTTCATCAGTTAATTTCTCTCCTAAAGTGGTTAATAAATGCCTTAATTCTGCCGATGAAATAAATCCGCTTGCGTCTTTATCGAAATGTCTTAATCCTTCTATAAAATCATCAGCCGTATCTCCTGAACGTGCTTTAGATATAGCTTGATAAATTGGTAAAAACACTTCAAAAGGTATTCTTTCATCTGCTTTTAGCTGATGAGTACACTTTTTAACATCTGCCTCTGTAGGGTTTTGACCTAAAGCCCGAAGACATTCGCCAACTTGACTTAATTGTATTTTGCCATCCCCACGGTTATCAAATAGGTTAAATGCTTCTTGAAATTCTAAAATTAAGGAATATCAAAGTGAAGTTAATGAACATTACCTTAATATAAAGTTATACTGATTACTCTTACAAAATTTTAGTACTGGCAGATACTAAAAATTATTAATTTCATATATGCTAGGGATTAATTTGGTTGTTATGATTAAATTAAACAAATTTAATTATTAAATAAAATTGGTAGGTGGGGATTCATAAAAATGCACTGTGGACATTAATATAAATTTATCCACATATCTAGATTGTGTATGTACCTATATTTTGCCCCAAAGTGCCTTTTTAAATTCATATTTAGAAATTATTCAGTTAAACTTTTTTTTAATTTCTTTTTGTTATGAGGAATAAATAAATAAAGAGTAGAAATTATACAAATAGGTTCATTGTTTTTAATGGTACGAAATATATATTCAAATATATATGAATATGAAAGTATATATTTGAACTAATGAACTATGACTCATTATTTCGTATAAATTAACATTGTTTGAACTTTTTTTCATGTCACTTATGTGGCAATTACGTGTACATACATATATTTCAAATTTACTCTACATATTGATTGCTCACCAGCTATTTGATCTTCAGTATAATTTCCCTGTAAAAAAAATCGTTCCAAGAACATGAGTTCATTTCAAAATTATTAAAAGTGTTACCATTTTCAATTAAAAAATTCTATGTCTTATAAATTAATATCAAGTAATACTTTGTTATTTTTATTTTTTTTAATAATAATTCGTAGCTTATTCTCTAAATATTGAATAGTTTTATTGTTTCGATTTCCTTGTGACGTTATGTTATAGTTTGACAACATGTCTTTAATATGTCAATGCTCAACGCTGCTGACATCTTCCGAGAAAAGAAAACTTTATATAATAAATTTTATTTAAGAACAAAGAAATTCATATAAACACGTACACCCCTAAACCATATTTTGTGATTACAATCAAAGACGAACAGTTCAAAAATTCAATGTCACTTGTATTTTTTTTTTATTTGAAAACAAACCACGTGTATACGATACATGACATTAATTAACGTATTTTGTTAATATAAAAAAAAAAATACAAAGAAGTCCAGAAAAAATAAAATAGAGTATAATAATTGGAACTTTGGCAGGATCAAGTTGAATCAATGTATGAAAACAAAGTACATATACACATATTCAAAAAAGTACAATTATTTTTCATATAAATTTATGTTGTCTCTTTGGTAAACTTTATACGAATTAAATATGTAGTATGTATAGCAAAATTCTTTTAATATGTTTATACTTTAATTTCATTATACTTATTGTTGTAAAAAGAATTGTAATTTGCGGAAAATTTTTATTTGAAAGTAAAAATTCCATAGTTTATTTGATCAAATAATAAAAGCACTATATAAATGTAGTTTTTTTTATTGAATAGAATTTATTTCCTGAATTGGAGCAAAGTTTAAATAAAGTTTAAAAATATTTAGTTGAAGTCATCAAATATATAAACATTTAACTTATGTTTATATATTTTCTAAGATTGTCATTTGTTTTTTAAAGTTTCAAAAATAAAATATTTTATAATTTCTAGTTCACAGAAATATAAATTTAAATATTTAATTATTTTTTAGTACAAAATATCAAAACAACTTGTTAATATCGTTTAAATATCCAGAAAATTTTTAGCTATATCGGGATTGTCTACCAATATTAGAAGCTCAAATTTCTCGTATTTGTTATTCGTTTTGTTCTGTAAAATACAAAAATCCAGATTAGCTGTATAAAAATTAAAAGTGTGTAAAGAAAGTACCCTGTTATTTGTTTCAATTAAAAATTTAGAAATCCATTTTAATTTCTACTGTTTTCCGAGGTTTTTCTCTTAAAGAAATCATGCAAAAATTTCATTGTTGTTAGTAAGAAAATATGTTTTGAAATCTTTAGTTTAGAATATAAATACTTTGGCGCTGATGTCAAATTTAAAAACTCTTTACTGGGTTGTATGAAAGTCTTTAGTTGCCAATATATGGCGCTGAGTGCAAGATGTCAAATTAGAAAAAGTTAAATTGTTTTGACATATTTTCATATATTTTGATTTACCAGTAAGCACTACAACCTAATTTGAAAGATATAATCACCAAATTTTCAAATGGAATTGAATGTAAGGCGGAAAAAGATGAAAATCAGCCAGATTTTGCTTCAATTACAACATGTATTGGGACTGTAAGAAAATTCTATTATCCAATTGGAAAATTCAATATATAATATTTAAATTTTTATTTTAGTTAAATATGAAAAGTGAAGAATTAGAAGGCCACTTAGTTTCTCTTTTAAAAGATGTAAATTCAAATCGTCCGAAGCGGGAAGGAAAATTCATAACTAAAGTAATTTTTAAGAGTCCTCCAAGTAGTGAACAATTGAGAATAAATCCCTTCGTTTATATAGAAGAAGAGTACATAAAACCAAAATCTATTTATAAAACAAGTTATAAAGACGTAGACGAGAATTCCGAAGAAATGGAAATCAAAATCTAAAATTTAAAAATATTTATAGTCTTATGTTTCGATATGAAATTGTAGTAGATATTGTCTAAATACTGAAATTGTTATGGAATAAAAATTTTTTTAACCAATTTTTGTAATTTTTTAGCGGCAAAAACACTTTTTCATTGAATTTGCTTTTTTTGAAAATTCATATATTTTGAATTCAACATACTTTTTTATATTTTAAACATGTTTTAGAAGCTACATAATAAGAGAGAGATCATGATTGTGAACAGGGAAATTAAGTCCGTAAATATTTTAGATTTTAAATTTCACCAAAATAATAAAACGTAAAACAAATATATGTGGTTTCACATAATTTAAGAGAGAAAAATTTGGAAAACCTGCCAAATTGGTTCGTCTTTATAAACATTTAGAAGAAAACGGAAAGAAAAATTTAAGCTGAGCAACGGCGCTTAACAAATTGTTCAAGAAGAAGAGGGAAATCATATATGAAATATTAATATGGAAAGAAGAATAAGATTACGTACTTTAAACACTCATATAACTTGCAAAATATGTGGAGGCTACTTCATTGATGCAACCACAGTCACTGAATGTTTACATACATGTAAGTCTCGAGAGTATTTAATTTTATATATCGGGAATTTGAATTGAATATTTTTCAAAACAAAGTTTTTATTGAAAAAATTAAACACACAACATAATTTTAGTTTGCAAAAGTTGTTTAGTAAAACACTTGGAAGAAAAGAAAACTTGTCCGACATGCGAGAATGTTATTCATCAGTCACATCCATTGCAATATATAAGTTTTTGTATTAAGTATATAAACTAGTACCGAATCTGCAAGAAAGTGCGTTGATATATTTTGCATTTTAATATGAACTTTTTGAAAAGAAATATTTCTTTTTAGATGAAATGAAGAGGGAAAGAGATTTTTATAGAAGTCGTAATATAGCTTGTCCAAAAGATTTACTACAGAATCATGAAGATGATGATGACAAGGTTAATGAAGCACATGCTGAATCCGGCTATCATAGTTTAGATGAGCTAGTTAATGTTTGTTTAGAGTGTAGTAGTAACAATTTAAAAAATTTGCAATGAAGGTTTTCTAGGTGTAGTTCTCAATCAACTATCACTCATTTAAAGAAATTTTTAGCAAAAAAAAGTTTTAAATGGAATAGAAAAATATAGAGAGGTATAAATCTTTTTCAATATCAAAATAGGCATAACAAATCTCAATGACCAATGATTTGAGACCTTGAAAACGTGAAAGTATGTGAATTAAAATTAGCACTTTGTGCAGAAAATCGCGAATATATATATGTACGCATTTAAATTTATTGTCAAGTTTTATTTTAGTTAAAATAAATTTAAGGGCTCTTTGAAAATTAATATAATTGAGAATTGACATATTCTGTTTTGCCTAATATTTTGAAATATTTGTGAAATTTCAAATAATTATTTATTTTTTAGATTGATATTTTATGCAATGAAGAACTTTTGGGTAAAAATCATACATTAAAATTTGTATATGTTACCCGACGGCGTTTTTTAAATTGTTTTTAAAAATAAATATAGTGATCAATATAATGTATAACTCAGAATATTAAGGCAAAATAATATAAGTTTAAGATATATTCATGTATATTAATGAATTTAATGTACAAAGTGGTCCGTAACTGGTGTTAAAGCATTCGTGGGGTGATTCCTCAGATACTCGTGTTTTAATCAATTATTTTTGTACCAATAGTAGCATTTTAAATTAAGTTTTTTAATAATCACTTGAAAATAAAAAAAATTACATTAATTTCGTTTAGTTTTACAATTTATATTTTATAATATTAAACATAAAGCTTAAAAAAACAAAATTTTTATTTGCAAATAATAATGTTTTCATTTTGAAAAATAAAAATGCAAATTTTTTGAATGATGAAACGGGTTAGTACGTTTCCAATTTTTATATCTTTCAAAATGTGAGTAATTTAAGGAAGATTTTTTTCGTGCTTTCGTTCTAATTTTGGAATTTTAATTTTTTATATTATTTTGCCAATTTTTTCGAAAACTTTACTTGTTTTTTTTTAGTATAATTATTATAAAACCAATCCATATGTATTTTATTTGAATCTAACAGACTATGTTTGTGCTTGGATTCTATGATTCTTACAATTTATTATACTTTGCTTTTTTATTGACAGCTACATAAACATAAATTACTTTGTGTGCATTTATTTTGTGGTCGTTTATACCTCACTAAAAAATATGGGAAAATATTAATAAAAAGTTAGAATACGTACACATACATAAGTGTGTATGTAATAAAGGCATTAAAATTGTAAAACTTACATATTTTAAAAGCTTTTTAAGTATGAAATCCCTTTTGTTTTTTAAAATGGATATGTATGCAAATAAAATACATATGGACGTGTCTAATTTATAGCTTAAATTTGTTGGTCATTTAGTGAATATGTAGATAAACACATACATATACACTAAACGATCAGTAGAATAAAATTTGAAGAAAAAAAATCAATATGAAATGTGTTTAACACATACATTTGGTTTGACACGAAACCGCGCAAATATAAACATGTTGCAAATAAAATTATTAGAACATGTATATAATTTGTTGACAGAAGATTTAGAATGTCAAAATTTTTTTTATTTTAGTGTTCAGTTTGGACACATATTGTAAAGTAAAAACGCAGTATTATATATGAAAGCGTTAAAAAATATGGCCCAAATTATTAAACTGATTATACTCAAAACATATATTTTATAGTTGGTATTGATTATGATACAAATTCTCCAGGTGTGAATATCAATACTTGACAATAGATAGCGCTGAGCGCAGCACGTCATATTGGAAAAAAACTTATTAGATTATATTATGAAGATTTGATGGATTTACTTAAGCGGGAAGGAAATTTTTTAGCGGCAAAAACACTTTTTGATTGAAAAAATTAAACTGAGCAACTGCGCTTAACAAATTGTTCAAGAAGAAGAGGGAAATCATATATGAAATATTAATATGGAAAGAAGAATAAGATTACGTACTTTAAACACTCATATAACTTGCAAAATATGTGGAGGCTACTTCATTGATGCAACCACAGTCACTGAATGTTTACATACATGTAAGTCTCGAGAGTATTTAATTTTATATATCGGGAATTTGAATTGAATATTTTTCAAAACAAAGTTTTTATTGAAAAAATTAAACACACAACATAATTTTAGTTTGCAAAAGTTGTTTAGTAAAACACTTGGAAGAAAAGAAAACTTGTCCGACATGCGAGAATGTTATTCATCAGTCACATCCATTGCAATATATAAGT